CTGTCTGGACGTTGTTTGCTGTCTGATATTAACCAGTATGTAGCACCTACATGACTTTCAGAATTTTATGCTGACTACCCAGTCTTCTTATGCAAATTGTCTCTTTACTTGCTGATATACCTGGGGAGGGAAGGGAGGAGAATATTTAAAAATTAGTCTTGGGGTGACTTGTCATTCTGCAGCCCAGAATCACCAGACACCTGAGGACTTTTCCTACACAAACTTGAGTGTCTCTCTCAGCTGAAAACACACCTTAGGAGAAAATCAGTTAATACATGTACACCTACAAATGTTTTTATAAATAGATTGATGCACAGTGATGGATATAGAAGTATGTATACATATATAAATATATAAACACACGGAGATAAATATAAATATATGTCACTGATTTAGACTGCCTAATGATTATTTCAACTGTCTTAATATGCATCTTAGTATAAACTCAGTATCTGGTAATAGAAATGACAAGAAGATATTTTTTAAGATGTAATTAATGAGCCCTGCCAGCACATGCTGGAACATAATGACAGTACCTGTCTGCATTAAAAGAGCAGTGCTATGTGGAAATCAAATGTGACCTGGCTTCTTTGTTAAGCTTTTCAGATTCCACAATCAGGCCCTGGGAAATGAAAAAAGGTTGCCAGGAGCAAAAAGAGCGCAAACTCAGCAAAGCATTCTGCCACTGATTCCCCTGACATCTCTGATGAGTGTGTTGGGAAGCTACAGGCTGAGCTATAGACATTGTTGCTGAAACATAGAATTGATGCCAATCATTTATACTTATGCCAGGTCTACCAAAATATCTCTGGTCCTTTCAGACCAGGTGAAACTTCGAGTGGGCAGGGAAGCCTGAACCTACAGAGGGGATCTTATCTGCTTAAAAAATCTTGTCCTCTTCAGAACTGTAAGTCTTTAATTTTAACAATACAGTTTTACCTCTTTAAAAAACTCAGACTAATTCTTTATGGTGAGTTACTCAACCAAAACTCAACAGCTGCGCTTCAAATGAATCTTTTGGAACTTGTCAAGAGAAATATGCTGCTGAGGAAGGTTAGTGTTATTAACCTGCTGCTCTTTTTTTCTTCAGAAAAGTCAACAGTTCTTGCCTTTCACTCCATAAACTACTAAGAAAATTTTTGGATTTAAAAAGTGTACATAAAAGCACGAGATGCTTTCATGATTGGTATCAATCTGTAACATGCAGTACTATGGAGGAAATACTTAATTTTCAGGCATTAATTTGAATCAAATTAAAATATTTTCCCCTAAGCAGACAATGGAAAAAAAGTAGGAAAAAATCTAAGTCCTTAACATTTTGATTTATTTTAAGTGATAGTTCTTGAAATCTGTCATTATGTGAAAACATTTCAGGGATGCATGTATAAAAAACTGAAATATGCAATGCAGCTGATAGCACAGTATTACAACCTTTTAAAAAACACATTGTGCTAACAAGTAAAGTACAATGTGTCTCGGCAATTAAATCTAATTTTTATGTTTTATAGGCTACAGCACACAGTAGTTTGACCAGACAGTTCACAAACCAATACCACAACAGATGCCAGTTCTGCCTCATGAAAGCAAAAAGCAGAAACGTTGCCATTTCTGTTTAGTGTGAGATAGATGGCAGTGGGCACAGGCACAGAGACAAATTAGTAGAAAATTAATTGCTTTGCATCCTACACAGTGCTTCAAGGCTAATTGTCTGTCATAAGGCTGTGTTAGAGAGAGTGAAACTGGATCTTTATATTGTCATATTCTATTGCTTTAAGCAGAATGAAATAATTAGACCTGTAGAGAACCAGGCCCAGGAAGTGATTATTAATTCTAGTTAACTGAAGTTTCCCTACATCAGCATATGTATTAATTCTAATGTTATGCATTGTTACTAAGGTAGATCATCTGTCACACCCACAAACTTCACTGACACAGTGATCCAAACAAGAAAGAGCAGAGCTAATGAAAGGAAATGGAATTATTTGTGGAGCTTTTTTTGCCACAGGAAATAAACCAATATATTTCAGGTTCATTCCTCTGTTCCTACCCACTTCAGGGATTAATTTTGCTTTGTGGGGAGAGGCTATTTAGAGCCTAAGACCAACATTGTAATGTCTATTCAAAGGTTATGCAATCTTTTCATTGGAGGGGTTCTGCACTCCTGCCTCCACTTCCAATTTCCATTCATAAACTATTCAACTGCACTGTGAATCATTCAGTTTTCCCTCTGTGGGAAAAAATAAAGAGATATCGCCTGATCAGTGACAACAAAAAAACAAAATCATATTCAAATGAACCACAGGGTGAAACATACTCTGTTTCTAAAAAGATATGTACCAGAAGCATTTCTGGAGTAGCAGCAAAGATTTGGGTGAACACAGGAGATAAATCATTCTCCAAGAGATACAGACAAGTTTTAAACTAAAAAATTTTCTTTTTCTTTGGTGTGTTTCCAAGAGAAAGGAAGATGAAAGGAAAGGAAATGGAATTATACTGTGTTGTTTTATTTTACGTAAACACCCACGTAACATCTTGCATGCATTTCTGGAAAAGACCACTAAGGTCTAGAAAACGGTGCATTTCAGGATGAGCAGAAGGAGTACACAGACAGGACCGTGTGTAGTTGGGAGAATTATATCTTCTTCCAAGAAAGGAAGAATGATCTGTATTCTGGCACGAATACAAAACCTAGTATCTGCTGTTTATAGCCTATTTTAATTATGTTTATGAATAGATCTCTAATATGTAAGTAACAAGCACTCCCTCTAGTGAAATTTTGTGGGATTTGCTGCTTTAACTATTGAAGGTTCAGAGGAGAGTTATTAAGTAGAAGCAGTATCTTCCATTAGACTCTCTGCTGAAGTCAGAAAAAAGGTACAAGCTTTTAGACATGACAGATGGTTTGTAAGGGCGACAGAACAATGTATTTGACAGAGTTGGGGGAAATCATTGTCTTACAGTAAGAAAGAGATTTATATGCACAGTTTCACTCAGATACTGTACCCCACTGATGTTTACTTTGCTGGTTCATCCTTCTGCCTTGTTGATGTCATATCCTTGCTTTACTGACCTTCACTTCAGATGCTGAAAGCCAAATGGAGACATTTCATTTATTCATTTAAGTATCTCACTGAAAAAATAAAAAATAGACTAACACATCCGCCAACATAAAGGACTGCATTTCAGCAGAGACGGTTTACCCTTTCTATACTGCAGTATTGATGCTTTATTATATCTTTTAAAAGGTATGTATCAATATCTCCTATTGCCCATTTAAATATAATGTTTGTAACAGGTTGGGTTTTTTTAGTATATCATCAAAATAGTCTTTGATAGCTTTTAAAGTTGTGGCTAATGGTCATGAGTAACCTCAGTGCTGGTATTTTGTAACTTTTCAGAACATTGTTCTAGTCTCTGGGTTTAAAATACAGATTATTGATTTCTGGCACAGTCTTGAGCAGCGGGGCTATCATTATGCACAGGATTCAAAATCATTGCCATATGCAGGGTTTCCCTGCACTGCTACTGAAACTCCCTGGAACATATCTGGCTTAATTTTTAGTGCTCCCAAGGTCAAGTTTGTAGAAGAAGGTGTGACATACAATGCAGCGGCTCTCAGACTACAAAGCACACACAGTTTCAAGTGTTGCATGGTAGCAGTAGTTCCTTGTTCTGTGTTTATACTACTACTTAATCATAACAGAAGCAGAGTAGGACCAGCAGTCACCAGCGGCTGCGGTGTGAAATAACACCTCTGCACAACAGCTGCAGTCTTGCTGCAGCTGCTGGATTAATGGTGACCTCCTGCACGGAGGTCAGTGGTGCTCCAAAGCCATTATTTACACCCAGCCTGTTGCTGAAGGTTTCTGCAGTCACAGTTTCTCCGGTGGTGGAATTCTGTCCGAGGCTAGACGTGGTGTCTGTTTTAAAACGGCGGAGCAGGGGCAGGTGACCAGAGCCAGCCCGGCTCTGCCTCCCAGGGGAAGGGTGGCCGTGGCTGTGCCCGTGTGTCCTGGGCACAAGGACATGTCCCATGGAGCTCACGGAGCAGTCCTGTGAGGAGCGCTTGAGGGAGCCGGGGATGTTCAGCCTGGAAAAAGGGAGGCTCAGGGGTGACCTTATCACTTTCTAGAACCACTGCTTCTAGAGAAACCCCGAGCCCTGAAAGGCGGCTGTAGCCAGGCGGGGGTTGGCCTCTTCTCCCCGGCAACCAGCGACAGGACAAGAGGAAACGGCCTCAAGCTGTGCCAGGGAAGGTTTAGGTTGGGTATTAGGAGGAATTTCTTCACATGAAGGGTGATGAGATGCTGGAACGCGCTGCCCAGGGAGCTGGTGCAGTCACCGTCCCTGGAGGTGTTTAAGGAATGACTGGACGCGGCGCTCAGTGCTATGGTCTATTGCCACCGTGGTGTTCGGTCACAGGTTGGCCTCCATGACTCAGGGGTCCCTTTCCCACCGAACTGATTCTGTGCAAGGGGAACAGCGCCAGGCGGCGACCCACAGCTCTCCAGACGCCGGGTGTGCGCTCGGCACAGCACACGGAGGCTCCCGGCGGCCGCAGGCAACGCGGGCCGTGCTTCCCGGGGGAGCGGAGTCCCCGCGGTCCCGGGCCGCGCGTCCCGCCCCGCCGCCAGGCGGCGCCGTCCCGCCGCAGCGAGGCGCTCCGCACGCCGGGGCCCTGCGCCACGCGGAAGCGGAAGCGGAAGCGGAAGCGGCGGCGGCGGCGCACGCGGGGCGGTGCGTCCCGGCAGCGGCGGGTGAGGCGGGCGCGGGGATCCCGTTCGGGCGGCGGGAGCGAGCGACGCGGAGCCGGGCTCTGCCCGCCGGGGGACGCGCAGGAGCCGGCGGCGGGGGCGCAGGTGACCCTGGCATCGGCGAGGCGCGCTTTTCCCGCTGGCGTTTTCCCGGGGTGTCCCCGCGCCGCCCGGGCTCCGCCCGCCGGGGGCAGCTGCCGGCGGTGGCCGCTGGCTCCGGTGTGATTCGCGCTGCTACCCAGCCTTGTCCTGCGGAGGCTGCCCGGCGCTGCCGGCAGGGAGGGGCGGTGGGGCTTCGGGCTTTTAAATAAAAGGGGCGCTTTTCTCTCGTTGCAGACACTTTCCAGGTCTTCCTTCCGGAGAACGTGAGATCCGCCTCGGCGCCAGCCTGCTGGGGTTCACTGGTTGTTAAGTAGATTTGGGAGCGGTGTGACATCGCGCCGCCAGTCCCTTCCCTCCTGAGAAAGGGTAGCTGCTTTCTGAGCAATCACATACCAACTTCATGTATTCCTAAGACTGTCACCAGCTTCTTGTTTTCTATTCAGAGGCCTTACAGAGTTTTAATTACTTATTGGCTCTGGTGGTTGTAAAGTAATTTAAGATGTCTGTACTACTCGGTTGTAATTATCTAATTCACTCTTGTGTTAAGAGACATCGTTTTAACTTGGGAATGGTTAAATCACCAAAGAATTAAGTTATTTATGGATAAGGGCTATTTTATTTGACTACTGTTGGCCTGCAACTTAAACTTGCATCTTTTATTTTTTTATCCTATGCTTTTTCTTTGTTATGGCTGCTGCAACAATAGTTCATGATACATCAGAAGCTGTAGAGCTCTGTGCTCCCTGTGGGTTATACCTTAAACCCATTACAAAAATGACCATCAGTGTGGCACTTCCTCAGCTGAAGCAACCGGGAAAATCCATTTCGAACTGGGAAGTGATGGAAAGATTGAAGGGGATGGTGCAAACTCATCAGTTTTCCACTCTGCGGATTTCTAAAAGCACAATGGATTTCATTCGGTTTGAAGGAGAGGTGGAGAACAAAAGTTTGGTTAAATCTTTTCTGGCATGCCTTGATGGCAAAACAATAAAACTGAGCGGCTTCTCTGACATTTTAAAAGTGCGTGCTGCGGAATACAAGATTGACTTTCCTACCAGACACGATTGGGACTCATTTTTCCGTGATGCAAAAGATATGAACGAAACCTTGCCTGGGGAGAGGCCAGATACCATTCACTTGGAGGGTTTACCTTGTAAGTGGTTTGCAGCAAAGGAGACTGGCTCAGAAAAGCCAAGTGAAGAAGTCCTTATAAAAGTTTTCCAGAAATTTGGAGAAATCCGTAATGTGGACATACCCATGCTGGACCCTTACAGAGAAGAAATGACTGGCAGGAATTTTCACACTTTCAGCTTTGGAGGCCATCTAAACTTCGAAGCGTACGTTCAGTACCGGGAGTACGCAGGCTTCATCGAGGCCATGAATGCCCTGCGAGGAATGAAGCTGATGTACAAGGGCGATGATGGCAAAGCAGTGGCTTGCAATATAAAGGTGAGAGACTGCAGCCTTTTGTGTGGGAACCCACATGAAAGACCGAGTACAACTAAATGTTATTTCTGTAGTGCTTGAAACCTTTATCTGTATGCCATAGTGATGACAATAGGCGGCATTGACAGCAGTAATGTAGCTTTATGGGACAGACATAACACAATTTTTAAAGGAAAATGGTGGTAGAAGAACGTGTTGTTAGACTACATGGCTAAAGTGAGTGGGATTTTGCTTTTTTCCTTAACAAGACAGTTCTAGAAATGAGAACTGCTGATGGAAGGATCAAGTTTATGAACACGATTTTCTAAATTGATTTAGAAAAAATATGTTTGTAAATCGTGATTTCACTTAAAATTCCAGTTCTGAACAAGTTCAGAAAAATTTCACCACAAGATGGACTGTAAAGTGCGTTATTCTTTCACGCATTTACTACAGAGAGACATTTAGAGGGAGAATTTTACAGTCTCTGTATTTGGTCCCTGCATTGATAACTAGGCCTACCAGTCAAAGGTCAGAACTAAAAGGTTTAGTAGCATGTAGCCTGTCTGGTCTGGCAAGTACACAGTTAACCGTTAGTGTACCTGATATATAGGAAGGCCCCACAAAAATTTAAATGATAATTTTCATTTGTAGCACAGCTTCCTGTGAATTTCTTATGCTTATTTCATAATATTTACATACAGAGTTTTCCAGAAAAACTTTTCTGTAACCTCATTGTCTTAGAAATTACAGCTGTGACAAGAGGGAACAAGGCAGTCTGTTCAGATGTAGTGTCTCTGAAAGCACGGCCTCAGGAAAACTTACTCTGTTTGGAGGTGGTTTGTGCATTTGCATATTGGTCGAATGAAATGTTTGTGGATGTATTTTGATATGCTCAGTAGTCATTCATCAAACTAGGGAGTGTATTTCAGAAAAAAACCTTTTGAGTATTCCTTTGTGCCACGTGGGAACATGCAGCCATTTATTCAAGTTGTAGTTTAGTCAGTGTAAGTAAAATACTGTAATCTTTTATCTTGTTATCGAAGCTTATCAGTCATGGAGTAGAAACCGTGCTTTGACCTGGTGAAATTCAAACTGTCATTTACGTGCAGGGGATCAGGGTTCCCAAATTTAGTTTGGCTGAGCAAGAAGTCATGCTTTCCTGGGAGCTGCCCTGTTAGGACAGCAGCTCTCTGTCATACAAGGTCACCACACCTTGTCTGTTTGTCCCTATTTGTCCTCCCAGTCTGGTAGTGAAACATGGTTTTGCATAAAGCCTGAGTAGATTAAACTACAGAGGCTGTGTTCCTTGTTCTTTACCCCATGGTTAATGACCATGGATCTGTGGAAATGTGTTATAGATCCCTGCCTGCACTCAGAATTGGAGATTAGGATGCCAGGGCTGGGGTGTCTGGTGGTGTCCTGTTGCAGCACACAGCTGGACATGACCAAGGTGTGTTCATATATCCTGGAAGCTAAATGACTCTGAAGTCTCATTTTTCAGATGTGTGTGTCTGTCTTTCTTTCTGTTTCCATGACCTGGGATCTTCTGCCCAGTGTACCTCAATTTGGGAGTCTTGGTTTTAGAATTGGTGGGGAGGGTTGAACCGGGTGCTGAATGCTGTAGAACTATGTCTTCTGCTGAATTTAAGGATCACAGTTTCAGACAGAAAGGAAGGCCTTTATTTAAACCTATTTCTATGTAGTGCTTTACAGTCCCTGACAGCATGCATTAATTACGAGTTCTGTATGTGCCCATTTTGACACAGAAAACATTGGACAGACAGAGCCTCAGCCACACTCAGGTTTATTTTTGGTTGTGAGACACAGGAGTATGAAGTGGTATCTGATTTTGCTACATGTGTTCACACAGTTAGTACCCAATTACCTGATTACAATATGTGGTTCTTTCTCTGGGTGCATAGAGAAGCTCCCTTTGTTTTGAAAAAAGTTTTACACATCTGATTGTACTTACACCAAGGTCTAAGTTAAAATTGGCAGGTTGTAATTTTTGATTTTTTTCTTGTTTTCAATTGTATCATGTGAAGGTTTCTTTTGACTCAACAAAACACCTCAGTGATGCATCAATTAAAAAGCGTCAACTTGAAAGGCAAAAGCTTCAAGAGCTTGAAAAGCAGAGAGAAGAACAAAAACGTAAAGAGAAAGAAGCTGAGGAGAAACAAAAAGAAGAAGAAAGGTATTTATTGCTTATTGCCCAGTGATAGTTTTAACATTCAGGCATAACAAAACTACTCCTTCATATCAGCAACAAAAGATAGAAAACAATGAAACACAAGTTTCCCATAGCTAAAGCTGAGTGTGGTTATTCAGTTTACCACTTACGCTTATGTTCAGTTCAAAATATTCAACCTGCAAAATACTCAATTTCCTAAAAATCTTGCCATTAGACACCTATTTTCAGAGACCCTTGACCTTTAGCTGAAGCTGCCATTTTGTCCTAATCACAGAAATAAAACCCACCACCACTGCACACATTCATTGGCTTGGTATTTTTCTTCTTGCTGTGATAATTCTCTGCCCAGCTGCCTCATGTGTTGTTGTTGTCTCGGGTTGAAGTAGTTAAAAAAATTCTTTGCTGTTGTCATTTTTTTTTTTCTTTGAATTCCAACTTGTTAAGAATAGACAGACTATGACTGTTTGCTACCAGAAGTAAGGATTAAAATGTTCGGTTTTCTACATTTGTTCTTCATCAACATGACTTATTTAGAAACAAATTTACTTGAAATATAAAATGTATTGTACATACAGTAGGAGTTAGAAATTGTCCTTTGCCTAGATAAGGCAAAAATATTTATCTCTTTTTAGGAAGCAGAGGGAGCTTGAAGAATATGAGAGAGAGAGAAAAAGAGAAGAGAAGTTGCGCAAGAGAGAACAGAAGCAGAAAGATCGTGAAGTTCGACGGAATAAAAAGCAACTTGAAAAGCTTCAAGCTGAAGAACAGAGAAAACTTCAAGAGAAGATAAAGCTAGAAGAAAGGAAGCTCTTGTTAGCTCAGAGAAATCTTCAGTCCATTAGGTTAATTGCAGAACTGCTAAGCAGAGCAAAGGTAACTTCAATTTTTATTTCAGAAGCTAATGAAGAGCCCAACAGAACAAAGCCCTTTACTGGCTTGAGAGGAGGTGGGGGCACTGTTCATTAAACATCAGGTTTACTGTCTCTGCAGCTGCTGTTCTTTAGGCCAAAATTTCAGAAAAGCACAATGAAACAGTATTTCTCTCTTGGTAAGATATGCACTTGCAGGTAAATGGAAAGTGAACTTGAACTTATAGTCCTGAATAGCAATTTTTAGCTGTAAATTAATTGTCAGGTTTTCTTAAGTCTGATAAAAGAACGTGTGAGCCTGATGAAGTGAGCTAACCACAGAGGATAAGATGCAAGACTCCTTTTCTAATTCCAGTTTGGATGCTGTTTCCCGTCTGCCTCACAGCAATTCTGTTCATTGTTCTTTGCAGTTTCAGAGATTGAACTTCCATTAGTCAGTGTGTGAAATGTGCAGAATGTTTCTTCTGTAGGAAAAGTACTGTCAGCAAAGGCTTCAAATGTTAGATCCTGTCTCTCTAACAGTATTGTTATTTTTTTCACTGAAACTCCAAAGCTTAAGACTTGGATGAAACTATATTAAGGTGTACTGTTTGCAAGATGTTTTCTGTAGAACTGAAAAGCTGTGTGGAAAAGCAAGGTTTTTTCTTGATGCCTGGGCACTTCAGGAGTGTTTTTGAACTCAGTGCTAGGTACAGATAAGTTACATACTAGAAGAAGGGAGAAATGCCTTTTGCAGACTTTTTAACTTTGTAGCTGTGGAAGAGAAAGGTTGTCTGATGAAACAGAGAATGTGTTTCTTTCATTTAGAGAATTCTGAGATCTATACTAAGCCACTTGACTAGGTCAGAATAGAGAAAAGTTTGAACCTTCTCCAGTGTTGTGAGTTTTTAAAATGTTTGACAAAATGACAGTCAGTTTCTACGTAATGTTTGTCCATTTAATTACTTGTTTTTATGGACTCATTGTAAAGTCATCTATGAACTTTACAGATGGCAATCATCTAAAAAAGTTCTTCTCCATAAAATTTAAAACATTTTTAATTTGACTGAATTTTTAATTTTTAAATTTTTAAATTTTAAATTTGACTGAAACCTTCAAGTTTTGACCCTGATAAATGTATTTAAATAGTGCAAATTTCACATGTTGTTGCTTTTGGTTTTTTTTGTTTTTGTTTTGAAGAGCCAAGAAGGCAAAACTTTCTCTCAATAATGTTTCAGCTTACAGCAATTTTGGATTAGTGGGTTTTATTGGTTGATTGGTTTTGATTTTTTTTTCCCTTTAAAAAGGAAACACCATTTTATTTTTGGTTAAGTTCTGTTGGTTAGATTTTATTTTCTTGCCAGATTGCTGCCTTTATGTTATGTTGTAACTTGGAAGCATGAGCAGGTATTTTTTTGTTTACTCTTCCTTTTGACTGTCTTTCAGACAGTAAAGCTTTTGGAGCAAGAACAAAATGAAGAAAAGCTTTGTCTTCAGCAGCTAGAGGAGAGACGAAAGCTCCAGGAGGCTGAGCTTAAACGTGTGGAAGAGGAAAAAGAGAGAGCACTGGGATTGCAGAGAAAAGAAAAGGAACTGAGGGAGAAACTACTGAACAATCTTCTGAGCAAGAAAATGGATGCAGTTAATCAAAACAAAGAAGAAACTGAAGCATCTCAGACTGATGTGCTGAAAAGCCCTAGTGCTGTTCCCCACACTGTGTCATCCTGCTGCATCACTTCTACCTCAGGACAGGCTGTTACAGGCAAACTGGCTCCTGGCTCTCAAATAGAAGTAGCGTCACCTGAAAGTGTAAACACTCAATGCAAGTACTTGAATGGCAACATTCATGACAAAGTTCATGTCAAAGAAGGTCAGAATCTTCATACTACAAACTCTGAGAGGTGTTCTGACAAAAGAGGCTTGGGGGTACTTTCATGTGTTCCCACCAATAACCAGGGCCAGAAGAGCCTCTCTAGCTATGACCAGAGCACTTGCAAGAAGGACTTGCACTGTGAGCAGGACAAACGTGGAACAGAGCCAAGGAGAAGAAAGAGCCATTCATGTAGCAGCATAAACAGTGATGAGAGTAAGGGTAGACAGGAGAGCAGCAGACACAGAAGAGATGCGAGTTACCGGGATGAAAAGCATCGGAAGGACAGGAGGTATTACAGACACTCCAGCAGAAGTTACAGCCCTCGCCGAAGCCGCAGTCCTCGGCGAAGAAGTGCAAGCCCCAGACGTTCCCGTTACAGACGAACGCGCAGTAGGGAACGCAGGCGGGACAGAAGAGAAAGGAGCCGTAGTCGCAGAAGTGTGAGCAGGAGGCGGAGGCACCGGAGGTGATCACTGAGGGAGCAAAGGAGTACTTGGAGTGGGTAGTGGAGGCCTTGGCTCCTTTGAAAGGCTGTGATAGGACAAAAGGGCCTCAAAATTGGACACCAGACCTCATCGGCGTGACTGCTATAGAAAACACAATTGTTTCAACCAATTCTTAGCTTGCATCTAGTCTCTGAAATCAAGAAAAGAGATGCCTGATTTTTTTGACCTTCCTTCCTTTGTTGTCTCTTTCTAGGTTTCTACCACAATGTAGGTATAATCACCTGTGCTTGTGCTCAAGTTCCTAAAGTGCTAAAAGCCAACCAGTTTTCTTCAGTTTCAGTTTTCTAAATGTTCATTTTAGTGTATTTAGTTTTTATCACCTAATTTGGCTTAAGAAATACTTGGGTGCCAGTTATGGGAACTTCAGAGGTGACAAGCAATTACATACAGATTTGATTAAAGTGTTTCCTGGTGCATTCAATGAAATCATGTTTAATGAAGTAGAGGTTTTATTGATTGAGGTGGATAGCAGGACTTATTTTTTCTTAAAACTGACTATAAAGTTATGCAGGATACCTTTTAAACTGCTTTGATTCCTTCATGTCTTTATGATGCCAAGCTTTGTGGCCCAAATTATTCTGGCATGTGATGCCTTTGTATAATACTTTCCATGTAAGAGAGGCACACCTGTTGTAGGAAGTAACAAGCAGTGGTAAAATGGTTGAAAGTTGTTCTGATATTTTGTTGACATATTTGGGTTTGTTATTATTTCAGGTGGCATAGGGCTACTTGAAACATTTTTTCAGGTACATAAAGAGCTGAACATTGTCTTGAAAAAGGGGCCTTCTTGCTAAATTATTTTTACTTGTGTTGTTGAAAAGTAAGGCTGCAGTGTCTCTTGTTAAATCCATTTAAGAATACCTTTGCTTTTAAAATGCAGCTCAGGAATATTAAAAGCTATAATGTTACAGTGAATGAATTTATTTTGCATTTTTATGGTAAAATTAAAAAGAAAACTGTTTCCAGTGAACTGAAGTTGCTGTTTTCATGTGTCAGTATATTAAAATCTGCAGAAGTGTTGTGTTAAGAACCTGTTTGTTCAAAGCATCACTCAGCATATTTGAATAATGAAGTTCAGCTTCTTTTCTTGATGGTCCTGTTACGTTACAGCTGTGTCAACTCTTAATCCAGCAGGATGTGTGCTCTTTAACTACAGCCTTCAGATGCCATTTTCCTCACGCTGATGCGTGAAATCAAAGTGCATCCATTTCCTGGAGTGTCTGAGAAGCACATTAGTGCTGCAGCTCAGCTGGATCCTTGGCTGACTGAGTTTGTCTGCTTTACTTTCAGAATCCATCTGGGTTTGTTTCTTACTAGACCATGCTGCTGAAATCTTTGTAGTTACTAGCTGTGGACAAAAAAAGGTAAGATATTGACAACACTAAATTTTGAGGAGCTGTTGTGTCCCTCAAAGGCAGAGAGGCATAGACAAGTCAGAGGGCTGGGCAATCACCAGCCATATGAAGGGCAAGTGCTGGATTCTGCACCTGGGATGGGGCAACCCTGGATGTACACAGACTGAGGAACGAGACTCTGGAGAGCAGCCCTGCAGAAAGGGACCTGAGTGTTGTGATCCATGGCAAGTTGAACATGGGTTTCAGTGTACCCTGTCAGCCCACTGTGTCCTGGGGCAGATCAGTTACAGTGTTGCCGTCTGGTCAAGGGAGGGGCTTGTTTCTTCTGTGTCCTCATTCCAAAATCTGGAATTCTTCCCTTGCAAAGCCAAGAGCTCACTCAGCTTCTTGCCCTGTGTCAGGCAGCCATACCTGTCAGTTTAAGCTTAGTTTAAAATCAGGCTTTATTGCTGGGGAAAGCTCAGGTTCACTCTTAACTGGTAGTTTTTTCCTTCACTAGTGGAAAAATTTCCCCGGTGAGCATGATTGGTGTGGTATAAATACAGGGTGTAAATCCTATGAAACCATGGATTGGGCAACTTTATGCTACAGCATTGTGTTCATGCTTGCTTGAAAGCCTAGGCAGCAGTGAAAGAGACCTCTGAGCCCTATTTCATGTACTGAGTCCCAAAAAATGCCCAGTGTTTATTCCAGTGTTCTGCTGTCATTCTTGATCATTCTTAACTCATATGATGAGGCAGGAGGAGCATTTTCTCAGCTGTGAGAATGCACCTCAGTTGTTGCACTTGGCTCCAGGAGATATTTCACATCTGTTGCCACAATGTCGCCTTTATGTCCTTGCCAGAAAGATGGGATCAAGTGGGAACCCACTTGGCTTTTGAGGATGCACAGGGTTTTGGAGTGCACTGATCATCTAGTGATAGAAGGGATGTGTGACCTCTTCCTGGTGGAGGATGTGAACCCTGCTATTCACAGACTGCTTTCAGTAAGGTCTGTAGGAAGTCTGTGGGCCAGAGCTCCTGAGCTTCCTTTTCTGTGCAGGAGCTGGTGCATGTGCTCTCTGCATGTGCTGCTGCCTCATCATACTGTTGGCAGCGGCAACCAGGAGTGGTTTTTCTGCAGCCCTTGTGAAGCAAAGAACAGGAGTCTTAAAGGGCTAAGAAATCTTAAGTTCCTGTTGCTATGTAGAGTGTTATTGCATAGTCTGTTCTTATCCTTAAGGAATGTCTCCTCTTGTATCTGCCTGAGGGCTGATGAGCCTCTGCACATACAAGCCTATTGGCCTGCAATTTTCTTTTTATCTCCTGGCCTGAGCATGCACTAGGTGGCTCAGGAAGCAGCTTAGTCCAATGACAGCTTTGCTACAAGAGCAAGGCCAAAGCCCTTCAATATTATTGTGAATATTGATTATTGTGATGTTTTCTATCTGATTACTCCTGGCTGTGGTAAAGGAATTTTGATAATGTGTGAATCCAATTGCCAGCAGTAAGTGATACTAGTAAAAATGATTACCAAAGCTGTAACCATATCCAAATCCTGTTTCTAATTGGCTCTACCTTTGTAGAGTATTCAGTGTGCTACAATAAAGACATAGGCATAATTAGGTATGTGTGTAAAAAATACTTGATATGTTACCTGGAAGCATCATCTTTAAAGCTGACAGAGAAAAGGGGAATTTTTGCAGTCGCTTCCAAAGTTGTGAACGCAAGATTCTGTCAGTGCCACAAGGCTATGAAGACAAACTAGTGAGAGTCAATTGGTGATCAGGACTACCTGGATTCTGCACCAATGTCAGCTTTAGGGCAGTTCTTGTATAGGATCATATAAGAGACTATTGTCCCTTCTCATGTTTGATAGCAGAGCTAGAGGTGTTGTTAGATGCTACACAAGACAGCAATTAAACCAACTAGTTTGGCAAATACCTTAATTTATAAATATGTTGGCAAAATTTGCCACTGATGTCTTGTATTACAGTACAGATCAAATTTGTGTTTATTATGTATTGCCTGTGTCTTGATCTGGTATCCTGCTTTTGAAGTTTGGTTATTCTGGATGCAACACCCATTTCAGTAAGCTTACATTGCATTCTGTTGATCTGGCCTTTCCCAGGTCTAATGAACATATTTGCAGAAGGTATATTTTGCTGCTTTGCAGTAAATTTGCAGTTGTCTGTAGTGTTTGTATAAAGCAGCAATCTAGTTGCTGTTGCTTCTTCAGAGCTGGGTGCTCAGAATGAGTCAAGTGTCCTATATTAATCCAATACTCTTGAGGCTTGTTTGAAGTGATGTGCACCACCATCCTTTCTTCCTTAGTGGCAGCACAGAAAATTAATTTGGTCTGGTTCTCCCTCACATGCCACACCTCCTCAATCTCCTGCTGCCTGATAAGAAAGATAATTCATAGGTTACCTCAGGCTAATGCTTTGCCATAGCTTATGTTATGAAATTTCTAAAGGGCTAAGGCTGGTTGGAATTTCTCTATAATTGATATCTTACCTAGCTGCATGTGCACTGTGGCACCTGCCAGGTGAGTTCTACCTGCTGTGCATGGGATGTTCAGGTGTGCTGTCCATGATACTGGATTATTTGTAGGACAGTGAGAAAGGATGTCATTCCCAGGCACTGCCAGCAAAGTGTCTGAACAAGAATTGGTCACCTTGAGAATAGATTTCCCCTGCAATTCTGCATATGATCCTGGATATGTGTTTGTCAGTGCTCTGAGGAATTGCCTAGTGGTGTCTGTTGATTTCTACCTTCCCTGTAAAAAGGAAGGCCTGGAAAAATCTTTTCTGTTCATTTTGCATAGCTTACTGCTGTGATTTATAGCAACTGGCAAATTGTCTCCTTGCAGCTGTTCATGCACCCCTGGTGGGATGGGGTAGAGAATTGTGAGGGAAAGTGAGAAAACTCATGGACTAAGATAAATACAATATAAAGGTAAAGCCAAAGCTGCATGCACAAGCAAGGCAAAATGAGGAACTTATTCACCACCTCCCCTGGGCAGGAAGGTGTTCCTGCCATCTCCAGCAAAGCCAAGCCTCTAAAACAGCCTGTTAAGGCAGTTGTATATCCACAATTTTCCTTTTTGATGCTTGACAGAACACAAGTAATTTCTGAAATCAGAGCCTGCCTCAGCTGCTGTCCATCGTGGTGTTCTGTTTATATCTTCCTCTCTCCTCTCTCTCTCTCTCTAAAATTTCTGCATCTACCACTGTCACCCTGAAAATTAGGCCTTCTGCTAACATTTTCATAGTTTTAGTTACTTTCTCATGAAAGTTCTATAAACGTAAGTTTTTATCACATTCCTTCTAGGAAATATCTTTTGATGGATGTTTTGCATGACCAGTGTGCTTGGGAAGGTGGTAACTTAATTATCCAATCCCTGGTCATTGTCAAAAATCTATAAATACTGGAGTCAGAGAATAAAAGTGCCTTTTTCTGTTCTGACACTGGGAGGTGTTTGTGTGAATCATTTTGTGTCCTCTAGCGACATACCACTTCTAGCTGGTGTAGCTGGCTAGCCTCAGGAAGAGTATGACTTATCTGTTGAGACTTTCCTCTGTTAGAAATCTCAATGACTATTTGGTTGAATTATTTGTTGAGAGATTATTTGCAGTCCACAAGTTGAACAGAGAACAACTCCGGATTTCCTGAGATGCACTTTAAAAGATGTTCTCAGAGTTTTTACAGTAAGTGAATCTAAAGAGAAGGGAGGGTTTGCTTAGAAAATGAGCTGGATATACAGGTTTTCCTGCCCACTCCAAATGTGTGCCAGTAGTATATGTGATGAAAACAGGAAAAAAATAAAATTGGTTTGTGTCAAAAGTGATGGAAATAATATTACTAGGAAAATGCATCTATTATAAAATATAAGAATAATTAGAAACTACAAAGAAGAAAATGAGTATTTTAAACTTGATATTCTATTTCAAAGAAAAAGTATGATACTGAGTATCCTGGTTTCTTAGGATTGTTAAAAAAAAGGCCACAAACTATTACCTTAGTGCCATTCCAGGGCATCTGTTATAACCTGGGTATACTAGAGACTTAGACATTATAGCAAAGCACAGTTGTTTCCCTACTTGCGTTACTGAAATTTAACATAGTCACATCCCTGGGATTTGTAGTTTTTGCTTATAAGGAAGGTTTCATGTGAGAAGATAGTGTTATCTGTCATTTCTCACCGGCAGACACATTCATTTCACTAAATCTCCTCTGTTCATAGATAATTTCTTACTTTCAAATGTTATGCAAAAACGACATCATTGGTTTTTGTGTAGCATTTGACTGTATTGAGTTATTCAGGCAAAGAAAAATGCATCACTGAAATAGAACTGTGGGGGTAAAATAAGGTCTTTAGTCTGCATGTTGTCTAAGCCCTGTGAGAGAAACCTTGATAGGGTTGTCAGAGAAAGTAAGCCTTTGCAATTTCATCTCCATGAATGCATTTTTAGCTTAAGAGGGGCTTAAACCTTAAGCCTCACTAACAATTTAGTTGGGAACATCTACACTGCTTTTTTCAATCTGGTGTGAGTTATCTGCAAGTCTCCTCCCCTACATCTCACTACTAGTAGTAATCCCATTAGATGATTATAATTTGTATCCTCAACAGACAGATTTAGTCATAATTGAAAAAGAACTTCAAGTGTGTTTAATCAACTGTGTGGTCATTTTATTAGTGGACACTCATTTACCATTTTACTTTGCCTTAAGTGTATTGCATTTATGGCCTGGGGCTGAATAGCTGTTATGTTCCCAGGAGTGGGAAATCCTTAAGCTTGCATGAAATTGCACCAGTTTCTCAGTAGCAGGTAGAATTTGCCTTTAGAAGAGAAATATTTTTATTTTCATACAACTTTCTAATCTTTTTGGCTAACAGTAGTTATCTTTGGCTGGTTATTATGTACAATTTAGTTCTCTGTTTTCATTGGAGGAGAGGAAATGATAGAAATAGAGGGAAATAAGTTGACTTGGTTACCCATGCAGATGGAGACTTAGTGAGTCTTTCTTAAACTTTCTCCTTCTACAAAGCTGTCTTTGGAATGAAACCAAAGACCTGGAAAAGCTGTAGTGTGTTCACCAAAAGCAGATCTAGATTTGTCCAAATAAGTGAACTCTGCTGACAGCTTATTGCATATGCAGACAGACGTTCATAAATAGTAACTGAGCTCATGTGCTCTCCTTGAGCTGAGGATAGCAGGGGAGTATTTCTGTTATGAATATAGCTGAGTATTTGAAACCTTCAGTGTCTTGTTAAATGCAAGGTGCACAGATTCACAGTCACTCTGTCAGAGGTTTGCTGGTGCTGGGGTGTCCAGCCTGCACATACTAAATACACAAAATATTAGTATGTAATCTGTACTGAATCTGGTGCACTAACAAGACAATAGCACTATGTCTATAGGCTGTGTTTGCTAGGAGGAGCAGTTCAACATGTTTCTGCAACTTGTAATTCTTGTAATGTTCACACCTAGTACTCTGATAACACAGGGAACCATGGTGTTAGAATCTGAGAATTTCTGAGTTTGCATACAAAGGGGGAAAAGGCTGAAAACTGTTATACCTGCTTAACTAACTTTAATAGCTAACTCTCAAATAAAGTTGCTATTTCACTACTGGCTAAAAGAAGTAGATCATCTTCTGGTTACAGTATAGGGATCCGAATGGAAAATACAGATTCGGAGGAGGGTTATGCAGTAGAATCTGAAGCATGGAGAAAGCTGCCACTGAAAAAATACTGGTTTGTAACATTTTGCCTTTAGTGTATTACCTAAATAAGGCTTAATTTAACATTGTTTCCTGAAGGTTCACTAAATGTGTGATACAAAGTGTGACTCTTTTCCTTGATGGGAAGGATCTTTCCTCACCTGAGTGTTGCCACATCTACCCCAAGGTGAGGTGGGAAAGATGTCAGATGGAGACAGAAATGAACAGTGGGTCAGCAAGATTTCAGGAAAGTAATCCAGGGGTTTAATTTTGTGATGAAAACCTATGAGGTATGTCCTGTGTGAATTTGAAATCCATGACCCATCTTGCACTTTGCAGTCATTTCATTGTTTTCTCCCAAGGGCCTTCTGCTGCCCGTGGTTAGTTTTGCAGAGAAGGGGAGGAAGACTGTAGTAGCCAGCTGGAAAATGTAAAATGTATTGTCATCTCTCAACACCCCACTCTGTCAAAAAATGGCAAAGCACCCCTGCTGAGGTGCTGCTATCAAACAGGTATTCCTTTCTAAGCTGGTATCAAGGTGGGTGGGGGGACCTGCAAAATACAGAAAAGTAACAAATGTAGTTTTAATTCCAGGTAGACTTTACCTGAGTGATCATCATCAGAGCAAAGTATTCACAGTGAGAAAACAGAAACAGATTCTTACAGCTTCTCTTTGTACTTGCTGCTTCTGTACTTGGGGATGGGGGGGGTGTGTGCTACTGCCAGCCCAGGGTCCTCTGGGCTGTGCCCACAGCAAGTTTCAAGTTCCAAGTAACATTCTGCTTTAGTTTATGAATTCTGGTGCATTGCAGAGTTCAGGTTCTTGGTATTCTTCTGCACTGATTCCTGTTTTGCTTGTTCCAAGCTTTCAAGTGCTTCTGAGGTGCCAGCGTATTGCTGACTGATGAATTGACAATACAAGATTTAATCCACGCTGCTTCTTTAGCTTTATACTTGATGATGGAAGATACAAAGAAACAGCTGAACCAGGTAGAAAGACCCATCAAAGCCAGATAACTCAGCTAAAATGTTTTGTAACCAGTGTTTCTCGGAAGGAATAAGATTATGTGGATCAGCTGGTGTGTTTTGTGTCTGGTGAAAAGAAGCTTATTTAAATTAAGAGAGCCAGGAAATCTGTCTCTCAGTCCAGAAGGAAGATGGGTTCCACAGAAGACCTTGACTATCCTCAAATCATCGTGCAATACAGCAATGGATTTTTAATCTCAAAGGTAAGAAATATAACTCTTAGAGAGAGTATGCAGACAGAAATATTTAGGGATTTCTCTTTGGGTCCTGAATGCAAGTCTTTGGAAGAAGTGAAAGCAGTAGTACAATGACTGCTTTTCCAAACATATTTTTAAGGCACAAAGGCAAAACTAGCAGTTCCACTCTTCTAATTGTTTGCTGATGTTATTTGCCTAAGCACATGGACATAAAATTATAATATCCAGTGCAGTGGATGATTTTTTCTTCATTTACTACTTAACTTTCCTGTTGTCCCTTGCTGTACCTCTGGCCAACATGGTAACAGAAGGAATGCTCTTTGGTTTGTGCAAATACCACTGCACCTTAAGCTCCTGAAAGGCAGAGCTGACAATAAAGGGAGGAAAAATACATAATGAAAAGTCACTTTGTGAGAAAAATAAGTGCCCAATACGTCCCAAATTAACACTGTTAGTACTATGTTTTTGAGAAATAATTTCAACTTTGCTTAAGCCATATTCTTATTCATGGTAAAAGGAACTTCATTGTACAGGAATCATCGTAGCTCAAATCACTGTAGATACAGGCAGTCATTTAAATTGATGTCTTTGTTATTGTTTCAGGAGTGTTTATGTGACCAGAGTAAAAGGCTAATACTTTTAAGGTTGACTGTATAGTTAAAGAAAATGGGTGGTTTTTGTTCTGTTTTTTTATGTATGGTTAGCTATGTCTGTCTGAAGGTTGACAGATGTTGTTGGAGAAGTTACACAGTTCTGTGGAAAGACTGGGCAATGTTGTTGGGTTGAATGAAGCAGTTCTTCTGGATGAGAGGACACTGCCTGCTTCTGGAAGATCACTGTAGTCTTTCACATCAGTCTCTGAAAACAAGATCCATAGAATGGGATGTTCCCCCTATTGCAAGCCATGAGAGAGTCTCCATCCCACCCCAAAGCATGTGTTAGATCCTTAGATAAAGAACAGAAACATAAACAGAGAACAAGCACCATCACCCAGACTTGCCTTTGTGCTCTTTCCAGGAGATTGTGAGAATGTATTTATAAACTAAGGAAGAGTCAGGAATATTTCCAAACAAAATCTGGTCTCTAAAGGTGGACTTTTGGAAGCCAAAAAACATTGGCTGTCTTCACTGGAAAAAGTAAAAAACAAAAAACAAAAAAAACAAAAAAAACCCCCACCAAACCAAAAAAAACACCAATGAGTGCATTGCATGAATTAGATATTATATTGTTGCTCAGATGAACTACAATTTAATAATTGGACTTGTTTATATGAAATAAAAATTAATCTGATATGAAATAAAAATTAATCTGAAATAAATTAAATTTCTATTTTCCCTAATTAAGCAGCCTGTGAAATGCTTGTGCTTTCTTGAAAGGCTTTGTGCTTTCACCTAATCCCTCAGTTCCATCTTTCCCTACCCCCAGGTTATGTTCGCTGCCTGTGAGCTGGGGGTGTTTGATCTTCTTCTGGAGTCAGGAAAGCCTCTGTCTTCAGATGCCATTGCTGCACATCTGGGTGCCAGCACCATGGGGATGAAAAGACTGCTGGATGCTTGTGTGGGATTGAAGCTCTTGGCCGTAGAGATGACACAAGAAGGAGGTAATAAAGGCAGAGGAATGGGAATAAGTTATAACAATAATTTAAACCTCTGATGCTTCTGAAAGTGATGTAAACTGTGTGGGCAAAGGTGATATCAAATGTTACATCAGTTAATGTAGCTGGAAGAAGGAGAGAATCACTCTTAGGATTCACTCCAGCTGAAAGAGGCAAATGTCAGCATGATCACTGGTATAAAGTGAAACATGGGTACAGGGCTCTATATCTCTAAATATCTTTGTGCAAGAGCCTCATGTGACCTTGGAGAAGATATTTAGGATCTCTGTGGAGCTTGTCGCAAGAAATCTGGGGTTTGGGCAGGATTTTAAACTTAAAAAAAATGCCAGGGTGGATGGTAACAGCATAATTTAAAACAGGTTTTGTTTTTCTTAAGGTTTTTACCATTATGTGAACTCTTTTGTTAGGTTGTTGATCAGAACTGAGAGGTGATGTAAGTTTTTCCTTAGAAAATGTCAGAAACATAGAATCCACTTGGACAGAAAGGATTTCTGGCCATCAGACAGCTGGTCAGGACTAGCTAGAGTCTCACAAGTTGTCCCCTCTGCTCTGCCTTGTGCTGGCATGCTTTGTTTTAGGGATTATAGTTGTTGCCCAATGAGTTGGGGAGAGCAGGATCTCTCTTTTACATTCATTTGATATTCCAGTTTGGTGGGTGAGTGATGCCACTGCAGATGCATTGGAGAGAGTGGGGGAGATTTCTGGGAGTCCTTTAAGCATTCTTCTGCCTGCAGAAGGTCCTGCCCTAGTGAACTGATTGAGGGTAGGTGTTGTTGGCCTGCTGTTTTGGGGACTTTCCCCCCACCTGCTGACCTTGTTGATCAGGAAAAAAGACTTGTCTGCAAAGACTACTCACTTAAATAGAGACTGAAAGCTTCCTCTGAGAGCAGAAGCCTCTATGTAAATGGTAACACCTCTAAGGCATTTTTTTTTTGCTCTCCTTGAAAGAAATACTTGGTGCTGGAGTTAAGCATAGGGAGACAGTGTTTACCTAGAAGGAATGGGGCAACACAGATTTCAGCAGCCCTCACCCACTGCTCATTGCAGTGGAAGGATTTGGTTGTAGAAGTAATGTGGTTGTGTCTTTGGCTGTATAGACCTCTTCTGGTGATAAACACCAAGCTCTACAATAGACTTGGCAAGATGTTATATCATATATGTTATGATATAAATAAAAGGTATTTATTTTACCTTTAGCCCTCTACAGAAACACAGAAATTTCCAACATCTACCTTACAAAATCAAGTACAAAGTCTCAGTATCATATTATGATGTATTATTCCAACACAGTCTACTTGTGCTGGCAGTACCTGGCTGATGCTGTCAGGTAAGAAGGTGTGTTCTGTACTGTCTGGTGCTTTGCAGCATCTGTGTTGCTGCTCTGAGTGGTGTGTTTCTGGGGAGGAGCACAATAAAGATGCTGGCTGGTTCTCAGAAATTAAAAGCAACAGATAATTCAGCTGTTAACATGGCCAATATGTGTGCTTTTTCCCCCACCTTGCTTTCCATTTGTGTATGTTCTAATTTTCCTTTTCCCTGCCATTATAGAGATGATCTAGAAATCAGATTTCTTTATGTTTCACCTTCAGCAAAACACTTGATCATTACAGTGGCTCTTACTGGACATGACATCAACAAAGTAAATAATGAGTAATGGTGGATAAGGATCCTTCTGTTGCAAAGGTTTATAGGGGCAGTTTAATATGGGTCTGGAGTCTCACTTCTTCCAGTCCATGCAACTGATGAGCAAACATGGTGTAGATGATGGTGATGATTGCATCAGTCTTGTACCTTTACCTCAGGTGTGTTCCCATAAATCACAGAATCCTAAAATGGTTTGGGTTGGAAGAGGCTCTAAAGATCATCTAGTTCCAACCTTCCTACCATGGATGGCACTCACTAGATCAGGTCGTTCAAATTGCTGTCCCACCCTGACTTTGAAAAGAATTAGTTATTCTTGTTGAGGTTAATATATCAGCACTCTCATAGGCTTTTTCAATTGCTATTTTAGAGAAGGAAGAAACCAATATGAAAGAGCTTTTGGCATTTCATCTAAAGACTCTTTTGGCGCAATGTACAGGTAATCATTGGAATATTTATAGAAATTCTATTCTTGTTGTGGATAAGACTAATGTTTTTAATTATGGCTCAGAACAATTAAATATAACAATGTGAGAATTCCTCTCATCAGCATCATGCAATGTTTTTATTTCTCAACAATATCAATTGCTGAGGCATTGTCTGATATTTTGAAGTGTATAATTCGCTAATCTGAAAAACATCACAGATCTCTGATAGACGAAATGATAGTTGAAGGAAAAAAAGTCCCTTGGAAATTCTGAGAATGAGTAGCATAATAAACTGTTGGATTTCACTAGTCTTAATTCCCTATTTAAATGCATGAATTCATAGCTGTACCCTCCTGATAAAGTAATATTCAAGGTAGGTTTATATGCAAAGAGGACGTACTTTGTGTCAATAAAACCAGAGATTTTTGTTTAAGCTAAAACATGTAGCAGCAATTATATGATAGGAATCCCCAAGGATGTGGTAAGGAGCCCTCTCTCTGTGCTGTCTCTGTTTGCATTGCTAGATCAGATGAAGAAATGCTAAAATTCATGGCTGGCCAGAACTCAGTATGGAGTATATGTGGCAGAGATGTTCTTGCTGCATTCGACCTTTCCCCTTTCACGCAGATCTATGACCTGGGAGGTGAGTGTCAGAACTGTCTTTTATAAGCTCTCTAGATGAAAACAACATCTATGTTATATGATGGGCAAAACAATGGAAAGCAGGACACAACAATATAAGGAGCATTTTGCTGATTTGGTTGGGTTAAAAACAAAAATTTGAGACTGATGAGAGCATTAGGAAGCTGAATGCTTTTCTCTGCAGTCTGACTTATGTAAGTAAGTATCCACTCATCCCCTTGTGGATGTGGCAACTTTAGCATTTTTTCATGCCTTACTTGATGCATTCTTTCAGTGCTCTAGACTATTTCCTTCCTCTCCTTCAGACACTGTGGTTGAGGTACTGCCTACAGCCTCTTATCCTGCAGCACCCTGCTGTCCCAGCACTGCTGAGTGCTGCCAGGATTCATGGGACAAGGCAGGCTCTCCCCGGCCTCCCTCACTTCTTCCCCAGAGCCTGGTTTAGTGACTCTGTTTTTCATTTTTCACCTTCCAGCACCTGCAGCAGGTCTGGCTAGGAGGGAGTGTAAGAGTGGTAAGGGCTGGGGCTAACCCCACGCGCCTGGGTGCTGCACACCCCAGATCTTCCTGCACAACACATGGAGACAGTGGCTTCTCCTACCCCTTCTCTTGCCTCTCAGCGACACATGGAGTGCAAATGTACATTGCCAGCTTCCATGAGGCTGAATGCACCATTTTCTGTGTGGTTTCATGGGGGTGTTGCTGGTTGGATTTGTGTCAGTACTGACCTTCTTCTACTGTCCCCACAGGAGGTGGAGGAGCTTTGGCCCAAGAGTGTGTTTCTTTGTATCCAAATTCTACTGTCACAATTTATGACCTGCCCAAAGTTGTTCGAGTGGCCAAAGAACAATTTGTTTCCCCCGAGGAGCGTCAGATCACTTTCCATGAAGGTAGGTGTGGACAGGGGTGTGGTGGTGTCACAGCTGTTGCTCCAGAGCCCTGCTCAGAGGTGTCATTCTGGAGGCTCAGGTCTCCAGCTGCCCCTTATGAGGACAGTGTCTCAGGTTGCAGCCTCCCTAGCCCGGGTCTGCAGCTGTCCCAGTTGTCCATCAGCAGCTGTCAGAGACACAACTCAGTTATTCAGCAACGTTAATTCCTGAAGAGAACTATTTCATTTCTTAAGAACAAGGGTACATTAGCAAAAAAAAAAAAAAAAAAGCAGCTTGCAATTTTGAAATCTGCCATGCTTTGTTATAAATCTGTCTAACACTCCCCTTTTCTCCTGTGCAAACCTCCTGGCAGATGTGAGGGATGCCAGGCCTGCTCTGAACAAGGGTTTTCCCTTCTCTGGTCACAACCAATTGACTTTCAAGTCCTAAGATATTTTAGACCATGAAAGTGGGTGAGCTAGCTCCTATTCCTCTTGCCCAGGCCACTGATCCTCCATAGTCTTTGTACCATCTATGAGGAAAATGGGTATAGGGAAATCTCATTTTTAATGTTTAAAAAAGTCTTCAAAGTACTGGAAGTGCTTAATATTGCTCAAAGCTCAGAGAGAGAAAAGAAGCCTTGAGGAGAGCAGGAAGTGTATAAAAACAAAGATGCAACAAAATGGGAGAAGAAATGTCAAAGTAAAATGCTGAGAAAAAAATCTGAATGCAATACACCAGGTGGTAAACAAAAGGAATAACAAAGCTAGTGCTAGGAGGTGAGAGATGTGTATTTTTACCTGTGGAATTGTGAAGTAACTTGTGATTACTGAAGATATTTTTAAACTTTCTTAGAGAAGGCAATATTCTTTCCTCTTTCTCATGACAGAAACCATGTGAACCTATCTCCTCAGTGCTTTATGAATTTGAATTTCTGTCATTGGGGGAAACCTAAACTCAAATGTTTTCCTGTGCATCAGTCTGTTTCAGGATGATTATTGCCTTTAAATATTTCACATCTTCTTGAGACTGATCAAGAGCAAAATTCCCTATGCAGTGCAACAGATGACTTTTACCTGGTAACTCCATTGCTGTCTGATATGTCTGAAGCACATTGCAAGGCTGGAATTGAACAGAACTGAAAATATTTACATAACTCAGCACTCAGTGTTGTGGGAATTTGTATAACGCATGTATTTTTTGCTTTACAGGAGACTTCTTTAATGATTCAATACCTGAAGCTGAACTGTATATTTTATCCAAGATACTGCATGATTGGGATGATGACAAATGCAAACAACTGCTGGCAAAAGTCTACAAAGCTTGCAAACCTGGTAGGTGTGAACTCTTGGAGAGCAGAGAGACCCTTACCTGTTAGCAATGTGAAGCACACCATTCTCAGTGCTCAGTTTGGGTGTCAGAGTTTCCCTGCAGGAGTTTCTTGGTTTAGTCCATTGCTTTCCCTAAGCCAGCCACGTGCAGCTGAGACAAACAGCACCTGGTCTAATTTCTCTTTGTTTGGTTTCCAGTTTTTGTCTCCTCTGCAGGAACTCCTCTTTCAAGGCATAAAGTGTAAGGATTGAGAATTCTGAGTGTGTTTAGATAGGTATATACGTTATAGTAAAAATCCCATTAAACCTCACAATGAAGCCTCAGAGTTTCAAAAGCACTGCCTACAGAGCAAAATCAGTAAGGTCTTGTCAATTTCATCTGGGGGAAAATGGGAAATTTCCATCCCAGCAACAGCACCCCCTTCAGCTCTGGGACATCAGCACCAACATAGTCAAGCAAAGACATGCTCTGATGCTTTGGCTCTTTCATTGTCTTCTGTGATGCTGAAATGTGGCTTAATGTAGATACTGCTTCTTCCTGAAAGTAAGATTAGGATCTGTCCTAGTAACAGCTTAAAACTAGCTCAACTTCTCATTGCTCAAGGTGTGTTTTCTTTCTCTTCTCTCCACCAGGTGGTGGAGTGCTGCTGGTTGAATCGCTTCTGAATGAAGATAAAAGTGGGCCTGTAGAAACCCAACTGTACTCTCTGAATATGTTGGTCCAGACAGAAGGGAAAGAGCGAACAGCAGCAGAGTACAGCAAGCTCCTGGAGGCAGCTGGCTTTGGAGTGATTCAGGTCAAGAGAACTGGAAAACTCTATGATGCTGTTTTAGGAAGGAAATTGTAGTATGTGTTTTATGTAAGTAACAAGACAGAAAAAGCTGAGAAATGTGCTATTCTCTTCTTAGGTTGCAATGATCAACTTAGCTTTTAGTTAAGGCTGACAACTTTTTTGTAAGCAGATACATTGTCAGAAGACTCACTAATAACAGATCTTCAACATGCATGTATTGCAAATCTGGCGGCCTGGCTTGGCTTGCCTTTGGATTTTGGAGGGAAAGAAAGAAATCAGCACCTGTTCCACAAAAAAACAATCCACAAAAGAAATGTGTAGTATGTCTGCTTCAGCTTGTATCAGTCTCTCTGATTTTAACACCGTATCTGACAAAAGCAGAGCTGAATTTGTACTTGAGTTCCTGCAAAATAAAGCTAATCCCTGTACTGAGCTTTCTTGCCTGCATTTTTATTCCTGAGATATTGGTATAATAAAATCAGACCAAATTATGTCTCCCTGTGGTCTTGTCAGAGTTCCACGAGAAACCTTTTTTGAGCCTTGGGGAGTTTTGCATGAAAAAAATGATATTAATTTTTTATTTCCTGTAGACTTTGATTTAAATTATGAAGAAGTGTGGTACCTTATTGACTGGTTGAAGCCCAGGGATTCTTATTACAAAACGGGTGGGAAGATGATGCAGCTAAGTAATTTTGTTATGTACTTGGGTAGTCCTTACTGCATGCCTCCTGCCATTTTATTAAATCATTTGATCAAACGTGGTCTGCCATTATCCATGCAGTTTTTGGAAGCAGAATTACACATTACTGAAGTGACAAGCATTTGGAGAAGGCACTAGGAAGTAACTCTCTTATTGTTTCTGGAAGAGTAGTTGCACTTGCCCATTAAGCTGGATACTAGAGGAGCTTGAGATAGTTTACTCAGTATCCTTCTACAGGAGCCTCCCACTCATGATTGTAGGAGATGGACAGGGACAAAGTAGCCTCAGTACACGCAGGAAACACAAGGTTTTAATGTCATTGCAATTATAGAGACATGGTGGGACAGCTTGCATGATTGGAATGTTGGGTTTTGAGGAGTTGTCTGGTTTTTTTTTCTTATAAAAAACAAACAGGGTAAAGAGAACCTGAAACAAGCATTTTGCTACATGCAGGCAAACTAAAGTCCTGTTTGTTCTGTAGTTTCCATGTTCCAACAGATATTTCTGATGACAACTTGCTATATATAAGTCTCTTGTCCGTGTTTTTTGCTTGTCCTTGGATATGTTAACTTTAAAAAAGTTTGTGCAGGAATAATGGAAATAAGGTGGAGGTTTCCAAGTTACTCATGTTTTGGGTAACGAAAGCTCTTCCCAAGTTTGTGCCCTTTCATGGTGCTGCAGTGGGAGGTTTTCTGTTTGAAGCAGATGGCTCTGCCAATAGAGTTCTTTCCCCCTTCCATGGAGTTTTTCACCATATAGACTGAGATAAATTTTCTAGCTCCAATATGGCTTAGGAGTAATGAATGAAACCTGGCCATAGCTGGAGGGAACCAGCCCAGAGCAGAAGACTGCCTGGGGCAGGAAACACAGCCTCTGAGCTGAGACTGGCCGTGTTGGGCTGGGCTGAGTGAAGTCAACTGTTCCCAGGCTGCTCTGTCTGGGGGGACAGAAACTTCCAGCAGGGCCTTGGCCTGATGGCCTGGGAGTTATACGAAACAGCAGAGGACAGGAAAAGCCAGGAAATTTGCCATCTTAATGTGCTAACTGGAAGCTGATGGCTGCTGCTTTTCAGAACTTGCTGATAGTCATGGGTCTTTGAAGAAGCACAGCCTTGAGCACTAGGAAAATGCTGCCTCAAATATAACAGAAGAAACAGTAACTAAGCAAAAAATAAAACAAAACAGGGGATGCGCTGAGTAAGGAACCCCTGCTTAGAAAGACAACAGCCCCATTGCAGCAGGATCAGGCACAGGCTGGGGGCTGAATGCTGCCTAGAAACACCTTGCCAAAGGAGACCTCAAATGTAGGGCAGAAGGGTGGGAAATTGTCCCACGGGATCTGTGGCTGTAGAATCACTGTGGGACATTAGGACCCACACTCCAGGCTCCCTGCTGGCTCCAATGTTCAGCTCTCCCTTCTTCCACTGAGCTTCTCTAGAGACCCCTTGAGGTACTGGGGACCTGTCCACAGGTTGTGCTGAACTGTGTGTGCTTCTATAAGTGTGTGGTTTTCCCCCCCAAAATTCTCCACACTTCTCATTTCTAATGCTTTAGCCCTTCAAAAATACATTATTGCAGACTAGCTTAGTGTAGGGCAATATTTTGAATGAAGAAATATTTTGAGTGAAAAATCTCTCAGGGTTGTGGAGAATGCTCTACACTGAAGACGAGTGTTTCTGGAACTCAGTAAGGAAGGCCTGCAACAAGTGGTTTGATAAAGCAACTAAAGGTTAAGGCTTTAATAAGAAAGAAGAGGGATATACATAGCAAGTAAATCCAGATTCCAGACACCTATGTCCATGCTCCATCCAGCTTTGTATGAAGCCATGTTGGATTTTCCCACATTACTTTGTACAGACACTGTCGGTGGAAGGAAGCAGCTAATTTTGGGTCATTTGGGTTATTATTTTCATACAAGAAAGAGGCCATTCTCACAAGAACACGTTGCTGGATCGTTAAAGGCAGGGCTGTGTGGGCAGTGGCACCGAGCAGGAGCTGCCTGAGCCCCGTCTGCAGCTGAGGGATGTTTGTGGCACAGCACAGACCTGAGACCACCCTGGCAGCGTGGGGGACACTCGCTCCTGGATGTGCAAAAAGCTCCTACTCAGGATCAATGCATTCCACCCCTTGGTCCACATGTACCTAACCTTTCCCAAATATTTTATGGGTTACAGATTACCTTGATAACACATGGGTTTCTCAGGCCCTAGGACCAGACGTGGCCTGTCCAAGACACTGACACCCTGAGCATAATGTCCTCTGCCAGTAGAACAGCCTATTCAGAAATGGGTATTCTCACACCATTCAGCTTCTGAAAGGGTGCAGTGTACATGTCCAGGCTTGCTAAAAGCAATTTCATGGTTACAGGGTGAAACAGATCCCTTAAAATAGGAAATAGCCTTTATGTTACATATTAGTGCAATCAGGCTGTCAGGAGCTGACTTAAAGCACGTAAAACTTACTGGTTTTTTTCCAACATCTCAGTATGAGTCTTGAGAATGCCTTAAGACTCATGCTGTCCGAAGGCTACATATTAAGCCTTTGTTCTGTGCTGTATCTCGTACCTTTAAGACAGGTAATGCTTTTTTGAAATGGAATACAGTCTTCAGCCCATAAACCTTCTGTGTGATAAATGAAGCAGTGCCTGTGAGACGCCTTGCTAATTTCTTCTTTCAGCATTTATAGTACAAAAGGAAGACTGCAGTTCCAGGCTGTGATAGGAATGCTAAGGATGCCATAGCCTGACAAAACTGTTCACCTCTCAGTGCATATTAAAAACATGCAAAAATTAAAAATGGTGCCTTGTCAAATGCAAGTTGCACAGATTCTGGGTTATGTTGTCGGGAATGAGGAGCTGTACATTTTTTTAGAGTTTGGAATTTGCTCTGACTTTTGTATGTTTAGGCCTACTATTTTTGTAACACAGTAGACCCTACAGTATTAGAAACTGGGAAACAGATACTGTTTCTGAGTTGTATATAGTGGGACATTTTGAATGTTAAGGATATTAAGAAATCCATAATGTGAGGGTACCTGAGTTTTGAGACAGATCATTAAGGGCTCTTCAGCCTCACAGACAAAGGCAAGAGACAAAAGCAGTAATCAACCTCATCTAGGTATAAAAGCTAGCAAAGAGACAATGAGAAGCACAGTGACAAGTATCAGAACTCCCTGTCCCCTTAGTGGAGGACCACTGGAGGATGCCCACAAAGCCATAAAGAAGTTCAGCTAAATATTTTTATCTGAGAAGAAAAGCAGAAACAAAATGATCAAAGGACTTACCAGAGTGAAAACATCATGAGGAGTTAAAGTGGGCTTGTGGTAATTACTGTGGGAGTTGTGGGGAACTTGAGAGTAGTTAAGGAAAGGGCCAAAGGAAAGAAATGGAGGAATCAAAGTGGGCAGGGGAGGAACCAGCCTAGTGAAATAGAGAAAAGGTGAGGGAAAATATACTGATCATGTTTTGCCAGCTGCTCTTCTGCACACCTGTCTGGCCAAGCTGCAAGCCAGATCAGTAGAGGTTTTCTTCATATTACACTCTATCCCTTGCTATCTTCTGTTTCTTTTTGTGAAGCCTTCCCACATCAAAAGCCAGTTCAGTGGAGAAGCTGTGCTTTTGAACAAGCCTAAAGTAAGATTCTGCTTTGGTTTATGAACTCTGGCTCATCACACTGAGTTCAGGTTCTTGGAATTCTTCTGTACTGATTCCTGTTTTGCTTGTTCCAAGCTTTCAAGTGCTTCTGAGGTGCCAGCGTATTGCTGACTGATGAATTGACAGTACAAGCTTTAATCCACACTGCTTCTTTAGCTTTATACTTGATGATGGAAGAAACAGCTGAACCTGATAGAAGAACACATCAAAGCCAAATAACTCAGCTGAAATGTTTTGTAACCAGTGTGTTTCTTGGAAGGAATAAGATTATGTGGATCAGCTGGTGTGTTTTGTGTCTGGTGAAAAGAAGCTTATTTAAATTAAGAGAGCCAGAAAATCTCTGTCTCAGTCCAGAAAGATGAATTCGACAAAAGTCCTTGACTATTCCCAAATCATTGTGCAATATATCCATGGATTTTTAGTCCCCAAGGTAAGAAATACAACTCAGTCTTCTATAGACATCTAAGACTGAAATGCTCAGGGACATTCTTCTCTGAGAATATAACAGTTCATAATAAAGCATCATAATGTAAACTGACTTTGGACTTGAATAAGCATGACAGAAGTCTAAAGGAAAAAAAATCCCAACAAACAACTAAGGCAGATCTGGCCTTCAGGATGGACCTAACATTTGTTGAGACCCCACTGACCTTTTGAGGCTTGGTTGAATAGACCTTGTCTCTGCATGAAGGTTTAAAAACATAGTATTTTCTTGTCTGACTGCCTTAAATGTGGAAGGTCTCTTCTGTGGTGGGATTATTTCCCACTTATAATTTTTGAAGTCTGAGAAACAGAGGGCTGACTTCAATTGCCTTTTCCTCCGTCTTGTTATACCATGTGAAGAATGAGATTTTTCAAATATTTTCTTCCCCTTCCTAATTTTCCATGCAGATAACATTTGCATGTTATGCCCCTTCAGATGGAAGGGACTGTGAATACAGAGTGTCTTATAATGACTCTCTCCCAGACAGCATATCATTAAGACAGACAGGGAGCAGTTTCAATTTCCTTAATGTTTGCTGATGCTGTTTTCCTGTGTGTATGTGCATTTGCATAAAATTCCTATATTCAGTTTCAGTTT